AATCAAGATCTTGTTTTTTGAACTCCCATATTTCTTTTTACCGTTTACTAAAGAAGAAAATTTCCTAAATGAATTATAATTTTTTAGAATTATAATTTTTATGATTCATAATGAATTGAGAGATTTTATATGCATATCTTATTCTCCTATAAGATTGAATGAATTTTATTTATATCATGATTTTCTAAGAATTCTTTTCATTATTTATTTAAGAGGAGATTTGTTAAAATGAATCATGGTTTCTCTTGGTTTCTTGGAATTATAACTTAAATTTTTTTTTTATAAATCAAGATTTTCTACTTGGTTTCTATCACTGTCTCGCCTTATTCATGACCTCGTAATCGGAAGCACACTTCTCTATTTTACCATATGGTTTTTACCCTTCACGTTTGAAGGATTTTTCATATAAATCTTGATGTTCAATTTAATTATGATTTTCATTTAATTCCACTACATATTACGATCTATTTTTATTTGTTCATATACAAAATTCTCTTTTTATCCCATCACTTTTGTGGTGCTTCGCCGATCTCTATCTCATTTATTCTTCCATGTCTTAGTCTATTCATCTAAAGTTCATTAATCTTTGGCTCGCATCATCCTCGTTTTTCTTTCTCCAAGTCTATACATATTAGAAGATCCAACATGAAGCAATGAAAGCAGTTCAATTCCTACAGCTCCCTTCTATTGAGCTCAACACCAACTCTCTTGGAGGCTGTCAATTGCTCTAGTATTAGTATTAGTATTTGGCAGATCACTGATATCTACTTTTAATTTGTTTGTTGCTACGGGTCCATTAGCAACTCAGTTTGTTCCATAGTTTTAAAGCAATGTATTTTTTGTTCTAGTAAAAAGAACATGAAGCTATCGAGCATGCGTGACAGCATGCCACTAAATTATTTTATTTGATGATGCTAGTGCAGTCTTAGTTTATGCTTTAAGCCAAGTAACTATTATAGTGCATTCACATGTCACTATCTATTTTTTCAGATTGAAAGATTAACCCTTAGCATGAATGTGATATATATGGTTTAGATAAATTAAGGTAAGTTCATGATAATAAAATATTGATAGAGTTAAAAGCTTCCTATCTTACGTCAGGTTCTTGCAAGGAAATATTCTGATGACAAAACTAGCTTTATAGTTGATCGCCATCTAGATGTCGACATCGAAGGTAAGGGTAAATCACCTCCCGACTCAATAGTATTGTGTGGCACCTATCGAATCCTCATGGATAATAGTTCACAGGAGACTGTTTCGACTAATTTTATCGATCATCAAGGATAATGGTCCCCGGGTGATCCTTTGGATATGTCTCCACTTAATTGGCATTTGTAGATGACAACCCGTAGAAGGTTATTCGAGCCTTTTGCTCACATAGATAAAATGCTATGCGAAGGGCATTGCGATAGTTACAAACGATCCCCTTGATCGCCCAGGTATAAAAGTCAGCCCCCGACACTTGCTTAAGGGTCGGACCTCTCTTTAAAAAAATTCTTTATACCTCACACAACTCCACAAAACTAACTTAAACATCGGATGAGTCAGGTTGGAAAATTCTCCCAACACTAACCTTTGTGTAGGAACTTGGGAAGATCGAAGTCTATCTTGGATCCTCCGAAACCACCTCATATTCCTCGATGCCACACTAACTATCTCATCAGACAACCACGAGGGATCCTCAAATGACCTTACGCAACACTCGGCAAACAACAATCTCATGGAAAATAATATAATTCTCACTCCTATAATTTAGGATGAATGGGCGTCGCACTGGGCTCATAGCAAGCAACATATATGGTGAGGTTCATGCAAACCTACTGCAATTGATTTGTCACATGATACATTCACGGCAACATGAACATCAATTCAAAAATGAGGGGCATATGACCCATTAGGCTGATGGTGGTCGAGGGTCGGAGCGATGGTGACGGAGGCAAAGGTATAGCAATAGGAGGTGATGACCGAAGAGACAACAAAGATTAGGGATTATAGTGACAAATCCAACGACGATTGAATATAAGTGGAGGAATATAAAATGCTCCAATAAAAATAGTTGTGCATACAGGACAAGTATTTTTATTATGTTGAGAACAAGTATTTTAAAGGTGAAGGCCTACACATCCTCAATTTTCTTTTTTGTGGACAAAGCACGTCTTCTCTGACCAAACTATGACTTGCATGATCAAAGAAACGAATATGAAGAAGAGCTTACAGAACAAATAATTAAAAATATAATCCCCTGACTATTAATTTTCCATTGTTTATATATAAAGTTTATTTCAATGTGATCAGCATATAGAATGTTTTTATTAGATGCGAGAAAAACCTGCTGTTTATAATATACAAACATGTCTCTTACTTAACATAGCCATCAATTCATGAATTGCATCAATTGTCATCAATACACCACCTTTCATGGTCCGTCTATGGGTTTATTTTAATTATTTCACTTCTCAAGCATACTTTATTTTAATTTTTTATATATATATTTTTATAAAAAAAAAATAGGACTATAAATAACGGACATGATACTCATGAACCCACCAAATCTGATGCTCACAGCTAAATTTCAATTTAAGATATATCACTTATGTATTATTACATTGACTACATCAATGTCTCCATAAAAACACGCAATCTTTATTTTATTGGGACGCAACGTCACATCAATCAGGAAGACGTTTCTATCAGTGTCCCGCCTTATTCATGACATCGTAATCGGAAGCACACATCTGGTAGTTAGTACATCGCCATCTCAAACACTGTTCCTCACGGCGGCGCCGTACCCGCTGTTGAGATCGTAGTATCTGCTCCACAGCATGATGCCGCCGTAGTTGGACGCAGTGTTGATAGCCGGCAGCACCTGGTTGGTGAGGTCGTCGGGCGGGATGTACCCGCTCCCGGCCGCGTCCGTCGAGGCCGGCAGCCCCAGGAAGACGGCCGATGACGACAAGCTCGATGTCCACGTCCCCCATGCGCTGCTCAGGCCGCTGACCCCCGACGAGTAGTCGCAGCTGGGGTTGTTGTAGAACTGCACCCACACGTAGTCGAAGTGCCCCGTCTGCAGCGCGTTACCCACGTACTGGTCCGGGTAGGGGCACTGCGGCGCCGCCGAGAGGTACACCTTGGTCCCCGCCTGATTACCAAAGTCGTAGAGCTGCTTCGCCAGCTCGTCGTAGTGGTCGGGGCCGCCCTGCTCGATGTCGAAGTCGATGCCGTCGAGGACGGCGTCGCCCAGCGGGCGCGAGCTGGACGAGCCGCCCAGGTAGTTGTCCCATAGGTACGTTGCCACGCTCGCGGCGTCGTCGGAGGAGGACAGGGAGTAGCTGCCGGAGCCGCCACCGAGGGAGAGGAGCACCTTGATGCCCTGGGACTGGCAGGCGCGGATGTCGGAGCTGAGGCTCGTGCAGGTGCCGGAGGGGGGGTCGCAGTGGCCCGCCAGGTTGAGGACGGGGGTTTGCCCGTTGCCGAAGGTGGTGAGGAAAGCCAGCATCACGTACGAGTAGATGCCGGTGTTGCAGGTGTCGGCAAGGCCGCCCTCGTTGCCGTTCTGGCCCCAGTACACGGCGATGCTGCCGGCGTGGGAGCCGGCAGAGAAGGCGAAGACGAGGAGGACGACGAGGAGGAGGGAGGAGAGGTTTCGGGAGGCCATGGTGGATTGCCTGTGACGATTGGCGAAGGCCTCGTTCATGTTATATAGGGAAGGAGGGTGGGATGGGACCTGCACCAGGGAAGAGGAGATGACAGGGGGAGGCTGCGCTTTGGGATGAAGCCAAGAAGACTTTGACTAACTCTTGGATGACTCTCAGAGGAGGTGCTCATCCACTCATCATCTTTGCCTCGTATAATTTATTTGTATTGCTGTTGTGTTTATCTGTAACTCATGTGATTTCCATCTTTCTTTTAGGTTAAGCATGAGAAGAAACGTATCCTCGAAGTATATAAAAATCTTACAATCTATTATATTTCTGTGACGCACTCCGCCGAGAGCAGACTTCTTCGAGTCTGCTTCGCCAACGGTTGCCACCGCCTCATTCACGCCTTCATTTATTTGGTCTTCCTCCATGGTCGATGCACCAGCGACCAACTGAGACAGTCGACTTGTGAGGGATCGAGTCGTCTCTGTACAAACATTGTCAAGGATCGAGATAAGGATGGAGGTACGATCGATTCTTTTCGGATATCCGACTCTATTCGATCTATCTAATGCGTATGCCGGTACTCTTGAACTGATTTTGAGACTGAATTCATTGACGTAATGCAGAAGGAAAACTCCGAGGAAGTCTCGTGCAGGTGAGGCTGCTGGGAATAAATGGGTCGGTCATTATCCTAAACAACCGCAGCCGATGTGTTGGGTTTGTCAGTATTCATCCTCGCAATGACGCATGAGCATCCGGTGTATAATTCCAACACGTAGAGAGGGATGAAAGTGAAGTCAGTCTCCCCGGTGGGAACTACGAGAAGGTCCTGCGACCGAGTCTTCGCCAGGAACAACGACGGTGGCGAAAATGTTGACGTTGGTGTTCATAGTCAAACGATGCACCAGAAACTGGCTGAGGCAATCGACTCAATAAATCTGACTTTAACAGCTACCCAACATCTCGGACTGAGACGGAGTCAAAAGTAAACATTGATTGGCTCCGAACCTTACTCACATGTCACACCATCAGAACCTAAGTTAGCACAAAAAAGTTATTGGAGTATATTAATCGCCACACCTTTAATTCTTCAATGCCATGCTCTGTTCATGTAAAGTCCTTTGATCTTTGGCTTGCAACATACGGTGAGCGAAATTAATGGGGGAAGAAAGACGTGTTCGCCATCTTCAACCCTGCTTGCACACGGTTTCCGCTGCGCCATGGGAACGACCACTAACTTATTAGTCTTCCTCCATACTCGACGCACCATCGATGAGTCAATTAATGGCCGGCGCCAGCTTAGCAAATTTCCGATTCGATTGTGACTCCTCGCCACTAAGCTGAGCTCCCCCCGCGAACAAAGAAGCTTACGAGGATCATCATCTTTGTTCCATGGCTATAAATTTCACGCTCGTAATATATTTTAATATCACGATAAGAATTATGATTGAGATACAGTTAGTCTCAAAACCTTAAGCTATTAGGAAAGAGCCAAATACGTGTAAGGTATATTAAGTATTAATCCTGACATAAGGGTTTACGTTAGAATTCCAACACACACACAGAGAGAGATGGAGGTGATGGAAGTCTCCCAGGTCATCTGAACCATCTTAAAACATTAGGGTGAGCTCGGAGCTTCGTTGATGACAAGTCCTCATCAAGAACAACACGGTCAAGAGTTGGTAGTGGGTCATGAACTACGGAGGAGAATACGTATAGGCATCGACATTGTGTCGTTAGGTTTGGGGCCCTTCTCCTCGAGCTCAAGTCTCTAGAATAAGATGGTAATCCAAGTGAAGATTTCGTCAATCTCTATCCCATTTATTCTCCCATGTCTTAGTCTATTCATGTAAAGTTCTTTGATCTTTGGCTTGCATCTTCATCGTTTTCCTTTCTCCACGAAATCTTTACATATTATATGGTCCTGCACACAAGTTCTCACGCAACATGATGCTATGAAAGCAGCTCAATTCCTACAGCTCTCTTGTATTGAGCTCAACACAAACTCTTTGAAGGTTCTCAACATTTCCAAGGGGATCACTCCTACACCTTTGATGTAAGTGGAATCATGTACTTACCCATGTCTAGTAATTTTTGTAAGACATACGCTGACAAATTTTGGTAGATCACAGATCTTCAGATTTTTATTTGTTGCTATGGCTTCATTAGCAGCTCAGTTTGTTCCACAGTTTCAAAGCAATAATTTTTATTTTACTTTGAGAAAATGAAGCTATGAAGCATGCCTCAAAGCATATCAATAAAGTATTTATATTCGATGATGCTAACAATGAATGTGCCGCCACACTGGGCTGATAGCAAGTTACATATATCGTGGGCTTCGAGCAAGCCTAGTGCTTGATTTGTTGCATGACCCATTCACCACAATCGTTCAAACCTCGACGACTCATTATTTTGTTGGGCCAACTTCCATCGAACTCGCCAATTGATTCGGACTCGAACCTAACATGAACATCGAGTAAAAAGCTAGTGTCATAATGAGTCTCATCATAAGACTGACTCATTTGAAAGAACTGCATGAGAAATTGTAATCAAGACAACATGTCAGCATCCATGTTCGTCGGAAAGGGTCATATTCACAGACCAAAGGCATCCGAATGGGAAGCGAGAGACGGAGAAAGGCGAATCCAACTTTCTGGTGATGGATCCTCATCAACAGAGATGAGAAAGGAGATAGATAGAAGGACAAGTCTTTTGTAAGTGTTGGATACGAGGAAGATATTGTTGACTTCATTGGTGGCTACAATTCATTTGCTGACTCCCGACATATGGACAGCATAAGTTCCCTCCGAATCTGATGCACTTTGACACGAAATATCAATCAAAATATATATCTATTTGCATGAGCCAATTGTTGACGAAGAGGACTTGACCGCACATCAGTGACGTGCGGGCTGTTTCAGTGTGTGTTGAGGAGCGCATGCATCATGCATGGCAAGTTTCATCTCGTTCTTATTCGATATATTATTGCTGTTGATAGTGTGGCTTTGGAGCTTGACACTTGCCCGGTTCTTCTTCCTCAAAAGTCTTCCTTCTCTTTTGACTCGTGGCTCCAAGGAAAAGACCCACGAGAAAGCGAAAAAGGGACAAAGGCATATGCTCATGTTCTTCTTCCACTTGCTGTAAAGATTAATTGCAGTGGTATAGTGTGTACCAGGGAATACAGAGGAGAAGGAATAAGAAAGAGAACAAGTAACATCTCACGTTTACGTTGTGATCTTCCACTCAGCCAGCCATCATCCTGCTGTCTGCTGAAGGTTTCTGTAGCCCCTAGGAGAAACCCTAATAGTTTGATCCTGGCAACCCACCGTGGCATCTGTTGATTCAGCTGATCTTTTTACTGCTTGGTATCTTTACATACAAATGCTGCTGCTGCTGCTGTGGCTGTGATGATCATCTACCTATCTGTTGCGTTTTCAAGTTGCCAAGTACCGATAGCAGAAAGAAGGAAACGTGGAGGGCGAGACTGCATCCTTGGATTGCGATGCCCATCTCCATCGCAACAAATCTCGTTGGTGGACTCACTCGCTGCACCTGCAAAAGAGTTATATGTGGCGATTGGGGTGGGGAGAGTTGGCCTTTGCCTTTTTGGAAGGGACGCCGCCGCCTGCAACCTCGAGCAAGTTGCGTTTGCCTTTGATCCCGAGATGCTGTTCAAAGTGCCAACTTCTTTACGTCTCCTAAAAGTGTTTTGTCTTCTCCTGCATCCGATGCATTACTTGTATACTGATCTAATGACGAAGCTTCACTGATATCTTCTTTAGATATGATCGATCATAACATCCCTGAGGATATCATGCATAATTCGTGAAATATTGTGAACAGAAAAAGGGAAGAAGTGGAGACTCGTCCAAGTCTTATGACGAATATTATATTTGAAGATTGTTAGCTGACCAAATAAATGTATATAAGCGTGTGAGAATAATAGGCGTGACATTATTATTATTATATCTGATGATAAAATGGAATATGGCTTTGTTAGGTCAGACCTCGATAAGAAAGATACGTCGTAATCCGTCACCTCAATTGAGCTTATTAAACACCTAATTTTTTTAAGGTTAAGTTGTATTTATTTTTGAGCAATCAATAAGGGTCGATTAAAAGTGCTAATCTAAATCAAAATTGAACGCCGACTGCGGCAAAATGTTGTCGTTGGATTTATTTTTCCGCCTCTTTTATTAATGGGAACAAAATTGCATTATTCTGTTGTTCAATAAAGAAAAAGGGTGGGGCCCACGGAGGCGCACCACGGACGGTTGCGAGCCGCTGCCTGCGTGGAATCTCGCGCGACGCGGTGACGTGTCGAGGCGGCGCCCTCCCAGCGGCCGACCGACGCCGGCCCCGCTTCTCGGCCTACGCTGCGCGGGATGGGCTAACGTGCGCGCGCCACCGGCCTCGCTTATATATGTCTCCTCTTAATTATCGTACAGTTTATTTTTCTTTTCTTTTTCCCACCTCGCTCTCGCTCGCTTTGTTGCCTTCCGCCTCGGCTCCTCCTTCCCTATCCCCACATCAACAACCCTAACTCTCGTCGGATCTTCCCGTCCTTGGCCGCCTTGCCCTTCTCACGCCAAGGCGAGTGTTGCCTCATTCTTGTCTCTGATCGGATCGTTTACGATCGTTTTCGTGGAGTGTGAATGCCGTCGGATCGGCTAACGAGGACATATATTGCGTCTTCTCGTTCCTCTTGAATGCTTATTTTGCTGTCCGATTTTATGTCCTCTTTTTTAGCTCCATCCAAGTATTCTCTGTAGCGTACTTGGTGTTACTTTTAGATTTGGTTCTGCCCTTCTTCCATCTCTTCTTTTCTTGGTGTTTCATGATCGTTTTAATGCTTGTCTCATCGTGGATTGTGTAGAAAGGTGATCGGAATTTTCCAAACTTCTTTTCTCCTAAATGATTCTGTGAGGTAGCTGTTGTTTCTCTTGTGAGTTTGGGTGTTTTATACTGCGCTCGATCCTATCGGTGCCCATCGACAAGGGTAAATTAGTGAAGCAGTTAAAGACAGAGTCAAGTGGTAATAGATACTATGTAAAAGGCATTGCGTAACTCGACGATTTCTTGGCACGTGGTATGTACCGGCAATTAATGCTTTAAACATCTGGTGATCTATCAACTGCTTTGCTGTCAGTTCTGTTGCAAGAGTTGAGTAGATTAAACGTGTTTCTGCATACTTTCCTCATTCTGAATAGATTTATGATACTACCAGAGCATCTTGATGGATGGTGTAAATAAAAATCTTAAAGCACTGCATCTTCCATGAGGTATTGGTAACATCCTTAATCTGATTAGTTGCACGATGGAAAGTTGCTTGTATTTGTAGTTTTTTGTTCATGACTAATCTGATCATGCATTTATTTTTGGTTTTTTTTTATTAATATATACAATCTGCATAACCAGATCGGGATTATATTCCTTACAGCGATTTTCTGGTCGTATTTGTGTTGGCTTGACCGTCCTGTGTCTTTGCCTCGTTTCTTCAATTGGTGCTAGGTTATAGGGGTTTACATCTCTCTCTGTCTCTCTGTTATTTTTTGTAATTGTCTCAAAATTTGCAGATGCAATTTGACGAGTTCAGATAGAGTTACTGCTTCCTTTTACAATGGAAGCATGTAATCGAGCAATTTGAGTTTCATGAATCATTTGATGTGTATGATTCTAGTAATAGCATGAAAAGCTATACATCAAAAGGTTTTAAGCATACTAAGTTATTCTGCTTGCCGATTTAATTTTCAAGAATATCATTCTGCTGTCTTGTAAAATAAGCTAACACTGTAACAATTGTTGGTAACATTCCTTCTAATTTCAAGTTCAATGATACTTTGCAAGCAGTTGCTAATAGTCTATTATATTTTTTCAAATAAATGTGGCTCTTTATATATGTCCATGGTTTTTTTTTTTTACAGTTATGGCCCTATAATAATTTGAATATCTACTTTGCTAGCTCTTTTATAAACTTAATGTGCTTTTTCTTGCAATCATATTTTATTGCAAATTTATCTATTAAATTTAATCAACTTGATCACATGAATATGATATAACTAGAAACCGTGTAAGTTTAACTTATGCTAATTAAACTTTTTTTTTTGTAAGTTATGCTAATTAAACTTAATTGCTGGGTATCTGTTATGACCATTTTAGTTATTTAATTTGATCCCTTTTTTTGAAAAAAAAAACCATGAGGCCATATTTTTACATGATATGCAAGTATGGTGTTCTTATAAAGTTTGGGAGACCTAAAACTCTCTAAATAGCACATTGCAGAGTTTTGACATCAGCCCTCTTGAGACAGAGCTATGATGGTTCATAGAAGTTACTGATGTCAAGTATATTACATTTGTTCTTTTCATTTTCCTTGTAAAATTACACTTTTCTTTTCTTTTTTCCTCTTGAGTTGGATCAGAAGAAATGATCCAAATATTTCTAGTCAGGTGTCTTTTTGAAAAGCATCAGTATCACTGATGACCGATATCGCTGATGACCAATGCATGTAGCATAAGCTTCTTGTAGGATGTGGTTTCCGTTTGTTTAAAAATTCTTGGTTGCTTGTAAGTACATGTTCTGTCAAACAGTAATCTATTTAGAGTATATGATGGATGTGTGGTTGTTTAATAGTTTAAATTGCTTGTCAAAGTACTTTGGATGTTTATAATAATGCATATATCCTTTTCTTGCATGGTTGGCAAAATGTGTGTGTCTTTTAGTAGCAGCATCAATACTAACTCTGGTTTTTGATAGTTCAATTTTGGATATCCTTGCTTCTTCAAAGATCTTTGTGTATTTATGATAACCCATGGCGCCTTTTCTTGCTTTGTTGGCAAAATGTGTCTGTATCTTTTAGCAGCATCACACATGCTACTCTGCTCTTCAAAGTTCTGGATAGAAATTTGGAAAGAGTAATTCTAAATTCTTATTTCTCAAATGCTATTAATTTTCTCTTTGGTGTTTCTTCTGCTGCAGGAATTCTTGGGCAATACATTTTGTTAGATGACATGGTTGGCTACTAATGATTGTTCATTTGACCCCTAACTCCAGCTACAGCTAATTTGATTATCTCTCAAGTTTTCCAAAATGGACCGTTGTGATACATCAGGATTTGTCAGTGGGGGTTGCAAGCTTTCATTCTAGTATTTAATTAACTTTGTTACCATTAAAGTTCTGGAAGTCAGGCTAACTGGTTCTTTTCCTAGTAGATTTGGTGGCTCTAAGAGGGCTTTTGACAGATAATGGATAACTGCCCTTTGAATCTGGCCTCTACTGCAAATCTTTCCTCTTTGAGTACTGATGATTTCTTTGACAGAGTCCAATCAAGAGAAGAAAAAAGTGATGCCACGTTACGAATTAATTCTCCTAGTTCTTCCACTCTTAATAACTCCAAAACAAAGGGGACAATAGGGGTGTGGGGTGATATGAATGATGTGGAGTGTTCAGGTCAGTCCTTGCTTGCTCTGGGTTTAGGTCAGTCTCTGAATTCTTCATATGTTAGCAAGATGAGTTCGATAATTCGTTGCACATCTTCAGCAAAAGAAAATGATAATGGATCCGTTGATTTAGGACTGAATATTCGGTTTTGTCCTGAAAATGCAAAAACATCGAATCCTTCTAAGTCCTTTGTTGCTACTGCCAATGATTCTCATACTGGAAATACATTAGACCTCCAATTAGGTCTATCAGTTGGGTCATTTGAATCAGTCATGACTAGTGTCAAGCCTGTCCTGGATGAACATCAGAGTAGTGTGGAGACCTCGGTAATGGTGAATTCAGTGCTGACCAATGATGATGAAGGGATTGTATCATCTTGGTGGATATTCAGACGCTGTATGCCAACTCATTTGAACGATTCAGAGACAAGTAGCAGTTCTGCTTCAAATAAGAAAATTTGTGTAAAAGCAGATCCAGTTGTTGTTGTGCCAGATCACCCACCAACCGTGCTGCAAACAGTGAAAAGCCCAGTTGTCTGCACTTCCGGAGTTACACATTCACGACACCACAATAGTAGCATAAAAAACTGTCAGTTCCAAGGTTGTGTAAAAAGAGCAAGAGGTGCTTCTGGTCTATGCATAGCCCATGGTGGGGGAAGGAGGTGCCAGAAACCTGGATGTCAAAAGGGTGCTGAAGGAAGGACAATCTTTTGCAAAGCGCATGGAGGCGGTCGTCGGTGTGAACATCTTGGCTGCACAAAGAGTGCAGAAGGGCGCACTGATTACTGCATTGCCCACGGTGGTGGCAAACGTTGCAGCCATGAATGTTGCGGCCGTGCTGCAAGAGGTAAATCAGGTTTATGCATCAAGCATGGAGGTGGTAAGAGGTGCCGGAGAGAGAATTGCACAAAAAGTGCAGAAGGTCATTCTGGATTTTGTATCTCTCATGGTGGTGGACGACGCTGTCAATTTCCAGCATGCTCAAAGGGTGCACAGGGTAGCACAATGTTTTGCAAGGCACATGGTGGGGGGAAAAGATGTACATTTTTGGGGTGCACCAAGGGAGCTGAAGGGAGCACTCCTTACTGCAAGGGTCATGGAGGAGGGAAGCGCTGCTTGTTTCAGGGGGGAGGTGTTTGCCCAAAGAGTGTGCATGGTGGGACCTTATTCTGTGTAGCTCATGGTGGTGGGAAGAGGTGTGCTGTTCCTGGGTGCACTAAGAGTGCTAGAGGTCGGACTAATTACTGTGTGCGCCATGGTGGAGGCAAACGATGCAAATCTGTGGGTTGTGGGAAAAGCGCTCAAGGGAGTACCGATTTTTGCAAGGCACATGGTGGAGGCAACCGGTGTGCCTGGGGTCATGTGGGGTCAAAGTTTGGCACAGGCGATCCACCTTGTGAGAGGTTTGCCAGGACCAAAGCTGGTCTTTGTGCTGCACATGATGCCTTGGTGCAAGATCACTGTGTTCGTGGTGGGGGTACCCTTGCAATATCCACTACCCTGTTTCCAACATCAATTAAGTCTGGGATGATGAAAGAGGTTGCTATTGGAGGGAAGGGCATGTCAATCTGGAGTGGATCTGATACGAAAGCACATCCTCAGGTTACTCAGTGTGGGTTGGTTTCGCTTCCAGAAGGGAGGGTTCATGGAGGAAGTCTAATGACGATGCTTGCCACCAGTTCAGGCACGGGGAACAATGCATAAATCAAGGTATGCTGGTATTCTTGAGCAGGGTTCTTCCTATGATACAATGCAGTAGTGTGTGCAATGGCTGGACGTGCCTTTCTTAACTATCATTTGTGCGCTTTCTGACTTGGTATATGTATTTTCCATGTGTGTTTGCGAGTTTGCTAGTTCCAATTGTTGAAAAAGGTATCTGATTTACCACATATATTTGCTAGATCGTGTTTGTCACCAATGACTTCTCCTCTGGCCTACATAAATGGGATTTAGGTGGGCAGAATTATAGTATTGTTTGCTGGTGTTTTTTTCTTTTTATCTCAAGACTCTAAACTTGCCTCTATGTATACATGGTTAGTATCGGGAAACTGATTGCTGTTAAGAAATTCCTGTTTTGTTTATTATATTTGATAAATCCCATAATAATCTTTCTATATGGGACGGAGGTTCCTGCAATTATCTCTTCTCTTTTTTTGTCTGATATAAATTTTCTTGTTTAGTTTACACGCTGTTACATGTGGTGCCTAGTCGCCTATTAACTAGCGGGTATGCGGCTTTAAGCATGTCTTGCAACTTATGATGCTGTAAGTGTAATACATCAGAGTTATGCTACCTTGATATCATGATCATATGACATATCTTCTTTGGTGGCTTTTTTTTATTTATTAGATCGCAAATTGCAGTGCTCTCATCATGAGACACAAATCAACCAATATAGCTTGTTTTTGTGCGTTATATTATTTTTTGCGGTAATCATTCTACCGAAAACAGATCTTCTATTTGTGAGATTCATATCCATCCAATGATGTTCTTTTATTGGTTATTACTGTTGCATCCTCTCTCTGCTCATTCTACTGAAAACATTTAGTATACCCAGTTTTCTTTCCTTGGTTGTTACTGTTGTTTCTTTGTCTGTAGTCATTCTACTGAAAACAGATGGTATTACCACTTTTTGCTGGTGAGCTGTTTGAATGTGATCTAACACTACAGCTTCGAAGCATTTGGGCCGATTGTAATAGAAGCGGTGTAGTTTATTTGAAAGAAACTACAGCTTGTGATTTATGCATCAGAGTGAGGATGATGATGAAATCATAAAAATGGAGTTGTTGACTCGATTTCTGTTTCAAAAGATTTCCTGTCTGAAGTCATGCTGCTAACACCAGAAGATAAAACACACACACACACACACACACACTCTTAACTGATTAGTTTTGAGAATTTGATTCAAACATAGCTCATTAATTCAACCCTGCATCCATCCCCCAACCGTAGGTAGCATCGCGTCCGGTAAGTGTCAAAAATAGATGGGTTCTCTCTGGACTAACCCATTATGTTATAGATCGATAACATAATGCGTTGGTTGTCATGTCAATCGCTCCCCACCTGTAAAGCATACTTATTCACCCGTTTGGTTTCATGCCACCGCTTTTGTTTTATTCCTTGGTTAAGCCTCGGTGACAGAGGTGGGGTACAGTGGCGTCTAAGCCTAGCAGATACAGCAACCATTACGACGATTCTTCCAGGGATGTGCTTCACATTACTCAGAAGAAAAGGAGGAGCAATAGCAGCACCACCACCAACATCAATCTTCCTTATAAAGCATGTCAACCTAGTGGAAAGATTTAAGAGAAAACCAGTCGATGACTTGTATGACTGCAGCTCCTGCTTAAACCATCCATCAGAGCAGCTTGGCCCACCACATAAGCCAAATGCTATTACTGACATGCAAAAATGGAGGTTTACATGCAGAACCCCTACATGGGAGCTTGATGATGCACCTCCTCCACCTAATTTCCTAGTTTTTGCTATAATAATACTATTAATGTACAAAGAAGAGTCAAGAGAAACTTGAATATGTAATAGTTCAGAAACCATCTCATTATTTTTCTTTCTGGTATTCTGTAATCAATATATGCAGTCAGCTAAATCTGCACTGATTGATGAGGAAAAGTAGAATACTCAGAAAAAAAAAAATTCATGAACTATAGCCATGATGAAACAAACCATTGGTCTAAATGTGCAACTTCAAGTTAATGACATAATTTAATCAAAAGTAAGCAAGAAAACTATAACTCTGGGTTCTAAAATCATCTCTAGTCAATGTTATAAAACAAGTGGTCAGTTGGATATTTCAAATACATGACTATGAGATGTTGGGAGGGGGGAAAGATCAAGATCTGACAACATGATTGACAAAAATACTCTTAAGATGTGGACCAAGCTCCATCAATGGTTTCTGAAGCAACCCACAAGCTCAGATGTGATGATGCCTCAAATGCAGCATGACAAATTGGTGAGAGGTCTTGTCTTGATCTAGCCACAGAGACCAATAGCATGAAAAATCTAATGTGTCTGACGAAAGATTGCCAGTTGAAAATTCAGATCAGTGCCTGAGAGATTCAGCAAATACTGAATTTTGAGATGCAAAATTTAATAGATCAATGGACTGATTGCTGAGGAAAATAGAAATTGATTCCACTGTGAATGTACTTAGGAGGGAGCTGATAGACTAGCCTGAGGGATGATACTAAAGAAATCAGATTATTCACAAGGAACTCATGAAATATGTCCTGCATGTACAAAAGAAAAAGAAAACCACCTACTGCCTCAAAGGTGACAGCAAGCTGCTTTCCTCTGCAGAGCTGTCTGCCATGTTCATGCATAGCAGTGAAGCAGCATATGACAGGGTGCTCCTAGATGTTTGTTGGCATGCACAAGGCTTCGAGTGGAGGAAACATGGTTATGGCATTTCATCAAAACAAGGCATGCATGGATTGAGACAGGGAACAACTCTGCAAGGAAGAGGAACACTACTGGCATTCATTATCTAGAGCAGGAAATTATATATAATCAAACAGGTAGACAAACATCAGCTAGGAAGAATTATGACAAAGCAAAATGCTTGCTCATAATGCCTCATGAAATCCAGTCCCCTTGCAGAACTATTGCTACTTCTTCCTAAGTGGACATGTTGCTGGCTATTCATCATAACCAAAACTTCTTTACTAGAACAAAGGTTTGCAGGTGCCATAATTAAAGGAAAGAACACAACCAACACTAATATGCAAGAGAAAATAGGAAGATTTAGACCTCGACTGCCAGCAACCAGCTCATACCATCAGTCATGAAGATTGATGCCCGTAGTGGGAACTGTAGCAGAGGGAGTCCAGAACTAGTAAGCTTTCAGCCATGGGTGTTGACAGCCTCCCACACCAAATTCTTCGGAACTGGGTTCTCAAAGTCCCGAGCTCGCAATGCAGCAGCTCTAAGAGTCCGAATGGTCATCGCATTGGCCTCCCAGAACGAGGCGATGTTGTAGGGCAGCTTATGCTTCTTGCAGAGCTCCCTCACGAAAGGAGAGACCTTTCTGAGATGGCACCGCGGCAATCGGGGGAACAGATGGTGCGCCACCTGGAACTGCAACCCGCCATGGAACCAATCCATCCACGGGGAGCAAGAGATGTCAAGGGTCCCCATGGTCTGCTTCTCGAACCAGTCAGTCCCCTGAGGCGGCCCGACGTAAACGCTCGAAGAGAAGTGGTTCAAGCAGAACTGGACGTGCTGAATCCCGGTGACCGCGAAGCTGGCGACGACGAACATAACCCTTTCTCCCCAATTCGGCAAACAGGAGACGAGCAAAGGGTACCAGATCCAGAAGACGGCAACCCCGAGGATCTCCTGCCATCTATTGGGCACCTTCTTCGCTGAGAGCAGAAGCAAAATGGATTGGGCGAACAGGTTGATCCTCGCGAAGCACATCACGGGGTAGAACGTCCAATGCTGGTAGCTGACGAGGAACCTCGCGACGGCGTCGAAGTTCATCTTCCTCTCGTAGAAATAGGATTTCATCGAGGCGAAGAGCTTCGATGACACCGCGAAGAAGGGCATGTGCTGGAGGTCCGGGTCGAAGTCGAGGCTGTTGCAGGCTATGTGGTGGGCGTTGTGATTCCGCTTCCACCACGCGATGCTGACGCCGGCGAGGCAATTCCCAGCGACGATCTGCGCCAGCCGGTTGAGGCGCGGATGCCCGACGATCCGGTAGTGTCCGGAGTCGTGCCCCATCCAGCCGGTCTGGATCCAGAGGAAGCCCATCATGCCGCCGCAGAGGGCGTGGACGAGAGCACCCTCCGAGAGGAGGACGCCGGAGACGGCGGCGACGAGTAGGACGAGAATGGAGCAGATGGTGAGCGGGGCGACGAGGCCCTTCTGGTCGAAGAGCCCGGACTTGGAGAACTCGGCGACGAGGCGGCGGTAGTCACTGGAGGCGGCGGAGACGCGGTAGTCAGCGAGATGGCCGACGAAGAAGCGGCCAAGGTGGGCCCAGGCGGAGGCGGGGTGGTAGGCGACGAAGGCATTGGTGGCGTCCTGGCCGGCGAGGCTGAGGAGGGGGAGGTCGCCGCCTGGGTGGTCCTCGACCCAGGAGGTGACGTCGTACACCTTTCCCTGGATGCAGATCCAGAGATCGGAAGCGGTATTGTGCTTGCGGAGCTCTTCCGCCGTGATGTACCTCTTTGCCTCCTCGCCTTGCACGGCCATTGCGCCCTTTGTTGGTGACGCCTCTCTCGGCCTCGCTACTTCCCTGACACAGTCCGTGCGCGTAACTGAAGCGACAGAACTCAGAGACGAGGATAGGAATAGAGACCCTAAATGAAGCGCTCTTCTACAAAGAAGCTTAAATCACAGATGAAGTAATATATATATATTTTTATGGATTTTTTGTTATATATATTCCTCTAAAAATCGTCTCTTAAGAATTTGATAATGAAAATATGAATGATATTTTTATTGTTTCTGAATTGAATTAAAACTATTGATAAGTAATCTAAGTATCTTTGGACAAATTATCACACACACACACACACACACACATATATATATATATAAGATGTACATTAAAATTTATAAGGGGCAAATCCTACTTTATCATTAAAATTTTGGGATGGAATAAGCATATCCTTCTTCCTTTTTTTCTTGCCATATTTTCGTTTTTTTATTTTTAGATGTCATTTATTTTGTGGCAGGATTTTTTTTTATTTACCAGTGGGGGTCGTTTCACCGTTGATTTCGAAGCACAAAACGCCAAAGAGACCAGCTGTCACGAAACACTACCACTGCACTCATTTCCATTGACCGACGTACGTCACTGCCCGCTTCATGATTGGATGGCGTCATGGTCCGGCATGCGGGTCCCGCTGGGGGCATCGCTCTCATCTCGAGTAAGGTGGCCGGTGGAGGTAGCAGATGGTCCAGAGACGGTGGGTTCCACGTCAGCTCCACTGTCCTCACCAACTACGTGGCGGGTAAGCGGATCCTCTTTTATTCCAACACTGCGAGGGAACCGCGGGCGGGGTAGGCGACGCTCGATGGCAGCTGGATGATCCAAGTGGAAGGAGCACGAGAGCCAGCTTGGCATTGCAGAGACTTGTCTGCTCCGAACTGAGAGGGGAGTGCAAGACTCAAAACAGAGCCCACCCGATTCAAACGACACATCATCATGCCCAATGACACGCGTCACATATGTGGTAGGCCCGTGAGAGATCCATGTGACAAATGGACCGTCTATGAGTCCCTTCGCAGGCCGGGCTGGATTACAAGTCAAGATTGGATTTGGACGTCCCTCCTTTTTCTCGGGCATTGCAGAGCTGGAACAGTCGTGAATTTAGACCATGAATTCGATGGCATGCATCATCGTTGATGGATGGATGGATGTTTTATGATCGAATTCGATTGTAGTTCAGATCTGCAAAGCATTGCAGCGGATGATCCACTTGCCTAATGATCCAACCTACCACCTCCAAATATGATATTGGGAACGCTGTTCTTTTATCGATCACCTGCAAAAATGATCCACTTGTACTTTGCGGTCAGCACAGATTACACGTAAATGCATCTGTTTGCTTAGCGAGCCTTTTTATCCAGTGGTTAAGGCATTAGCATCGAGTATAGTGCCAAAACAGTCAGCCAGGCTGCTTAGTTTAAGCATATACACATCGAAGAATCATGTGATGATCCATTCAGAATTCTCTTCTTTGTCTTCTTGGTTGAATCCAGATATGCATATCAAGGCAACTATTATATGAATCTTCTACCAAAGAAAGAAAAGCTTAAAGAATTATAAAGATCCATTGGATTTTTCCCATGAACTGCTTCGAGTGGCTGATCCCAAAGATTAATAGCTAAGCAATTTGCATGTCATAAATAATCTCTTGTTGAGGTTTGCTTTAATGAATGATGATTTGGATCTTTTCAGATATGATTTGATGTCATCGTCTTTAACGACCATTCAATTCAATGCATCCTCTCCTTCTTGACAATAAAGAGAGATTAGAAAAGATGACCAAAAGAATAGTTTTACATTGATAAAATCAACAAGTTTGAAGTTTTTGGGTTGAATCAGTGATATGTCAAACTCATCCCCAATGGATTTTTAACTATCTGAATTATCCAAAGAATTCTTGATGTCATCAGGAGATTCCCGATCTAGTCGATGGAGGCACTTTGTAGGTATTCATCAGACCATGCTATTTCTTCATGTCTTCCCCCACTCGCATGCCATCTCCAACCCTGAAGCTAAAAGCCTTGGAGCTATAGAGATTCCATGGAGATCCCACAGCACTCCACCAATGACAGCTTCTCTTATAGCTGGTTGATGAACGTCGTCAAGTCCCCTCTCGACTCCGCCCAGGAGGACGGCGGCTGCTTCATCGAAGTGGATCCCAAAGTGTTCTCCAGGCGTTGGAAGACCGACTCCCTCGATTTCGACTTCCATCTCCCTACACCTCAGTCTTCTGCGCTGGTTCATGCAGATCAGATCATCTCCGACGGCCTACTTCTGCCGCTCCACCTCGTCCACCCACCCACGGCCGCAGCCATCTCCGAGTCTCCTGTGGACCCGGTTCTACTGAGATCACTCTCGGTGGACTCATCCAAAACGTTGCTCTCCCGAAGCAACCGGTTCCGGTCATGCTACGACTGTGCAGCACCGAGACGGCCTATGTCGTCCACTTCTTCGCCACTCTGCGGGCCACTGCAAAGCCTTCCTGCTTCTTCGAGCTCCGGCTCATCGAAGAGCGAGTTCTCGACGAGCACCAAGCGGAATTTACCTCTCTTTGGTGCCTCTGCAGGGTCTTCCAAGAGGTTCCTCGGGAAGTACTTACCCTTCCTGCTGCCTTTCTGTCGGAAGGTCAAGGGATTGGTATCGATCAGGAAGCCAAGGCGCTCCAGGTTGAGCTCGGCAGCAAGTTGCATGGAGTCGATCGGATCATCTTCGAGGCACAGTGATGCGTTCTCGAGCTGTGAGTCGTATCGCGGCAAGACGACGGTTGATGCGGGCACTGAAACAGCTATACACGACGCCGTCCTCCATTGCAAGAATTCTTTCAACATGTCACGGTGAAGAAGGTTTAGCGAGTAGAGTTGTCTGTGCAACGCTTCTGTATATTACCAGACTCTCTATGTTGGTGAAGGATGGGAAGAGAAGAACAGCCGAGGAGGGCATCTTGTTCCTGTGATTTTTGTGCTTCCTGTCGTTTGTCAGATGATGATCATCTACTGATGGAGATGAATGGCATAATTCTTCCTTTCTGATGCAAGACTCGACAACCTCTCCACCTCACTCCTGCAGGAAGACTAATTCCATCAGAATAAACCCGGAGGTTCAACAGTGATCAAAAGCACTCCTTTTACACGACTTCCAGGACACAAACCGCAGTCTGCAGAATCTAACATGAAGCATAAGGCACAACAACAAGAAGCAATGTGGATCTCAACAAGAAGCAGGACCTATTGTTATTAATATTGTAGCTTAAAATAGGATCAAGTAGTAAAGGTTTGCCAAACACAGAATTCATGTTAATCACTACTTGATCATTCGGGCATCAGACTGAAGCGTGCAGATGCATTGTCTATGGTCCCAAGAATTTGGAATGTTCCTCAAGCTCACAACATCCTCACCGACCTGAGAAAAGAAAGTTATAGACAACAGCCGTTTTCCCTTCTTCTTCTTCTTCTTCGGATGTAAAGAACAAGATCAGCATTACACACGTCATCGGCTTTATATGCTCCAAAGAAAAGATCATTGGCCGTAAAGAAATCATACGGTAGGACATCAATTCTGTCAGCCCCAGGTGGCTTTACAGCTACCAAACGAGCAGGAAAGTGACGGGCAACCAAAGCTAGGCGTGCAAGTAAGCTCACATGTCTGGGGGACAAAACTGAGAAGCTTTCATCCATTCTATATGCGAAAGCGAGCTATGTCCTGTAGAATATCCGTTCGAGTTATCGAAGTAAAGACATGAAAGTGATGGGGAATAAACCCCAAAATTTCCATGAGTCAGATCAGTATCATCTCTTGGAGCCAATAGGATTAGCTCTCATTTCTTTTTCTTCTACTAAGGAATCGTACCATATATATGATACACCTGAGTGGTTCTTCCTTCAGTCCTCTCTCTAGATTTCTCTTCTTCGAACAGTGTGGGGATGGGGTCATCACCCTGACACTAATGAGGTGGATGAACTTGCGTGTGATACGCAGTATGTGTTCTACTCGAGATAATAAAGTGGTCCTTGTAAATGTGAGGCCAGAAGCAGCATGATTTGATACAATAGACCAAAAGCTAGGAAAAGGAGGAGAAAAGAACGACTCACAGAGTGCCATGGGTGGGTCAGATGGCTTGAATGATTTGCGTGTCGTCAAGGCTCAGCGCATTCACTGTCACGGACTCCATCATGCAGGGTGGGAGTCCGAGGACCAGCTGCTTGTCCTCGGAAAACTATGGGAACATCCCTTTGCAGCATCTGCGTCAACCCCTCCAAAAACCAGAGGCTGGAAGAACGAGTGCAGCGGCAAGTGGGTCACATGGGAGGTGATGGCGGAAGGGATGTGCTGTTTCCATGCTCCACTCTGCTTCCTCCTGTTGCTCCGTCGTCAGGTAATCTACCTTCCACTTTGAGAACGAGTGGCTTGCTGCTGTCGTGTGGACCAGAAGAGCCTCGTTACGCGCTGCCGGTCGGGAGCTGCCTCGCTGTGGTCGGACTTGGAACCAACAGTGAAGAACACGCAAATGCTCGATGTAGAGATGTCGGATTTTGGACCGCGCCGCCGCCTCGAAGCCGAAAGGGTTGGTTTTCACGTAAACCTTACCAGCCTAAAGATACGATGACGATAGATTGAAGTTAGAGAGGTTTATCCATCCTGCGATGAGACCTTTAAAACCCAAACAGCTGAATCATTATTCATATACTTTATATTTTTTTTTTAATACATGTTTGTAGATTTTGATCTGATGATGACATGATAAATGAGATTATTGAGCAGAGACAGATTTGCCTGACATTTATTTCATGACTCTACAAAAAATCAACATTCTTTTGAAGATAATCTTACCTCAAGCAAATCTAAATATAAAGATACAATTGACATGTGGAGTAATTGTTCAAAAACAAACTTGCAAAAAACCCAACCTCATGTAAGATTTTAATTACAGATTTTGTGCAAGAGCAAATCCATGCAACTCCAAACTTGATGACTTCACCGAGAAGTTGAAGGTTTTGAGCAATGACCCACTTTCCAAATTCAGGAACCAACAAATTGCATCAGAACTCACGTAATATACAAAGCTTACAAATGGTTTCCCATCTAGCAATAATCAAATTACATGGAAGAATAATTAGCTACAAGATTGTTACTTGTTTGATACTCCATACAAAATATGATGGAATGGGACTTTAAAGAATAAAAAATTAATGGATCATGTCTCATTTTCGGGTTAAGATCGTACAAGAAATGTTAGATTGATGGATTAGCAGAGGGGTGGCTATCTGCGAACAGATTGATTCATCTTCCTTGTAAAGAGGGCTGCAGAGTTCACAGCATCTGGTGAGTGACCAAAAACCCAGAGTTGCTTGTGCAGCATAACACACCAGGGGATTGAATAGAGTCCTCAGAGTGCAAATGCTGGGCCATTGTTGCAACAGCAATTACAAGCATCTGGAAACATTCAACCAGTAGGTTCACATAAGCATATTCCAAAAGCCAACAAGGAAAATGAAAATGCAAAGAAAATAACTTGTTAAACATCAGTAATAACACATGACCATAATAAACATGATCTATGATAAGGTCCCACAAGTGGTCTGATTACAGGTTTTGCTCTTCATGATGCCTGATATGCTGCAGAACATGAAAGGCTTTGACATTCGAAATCTCTACATTAGGGCATTGTCATGTCAAATTCTACACACTTGCCACCGAAATCTCTACATAAGGAGGCATTAGCAAGGGGTTTATCCAGGACATATGGAAAGAACTTGTTGCAGGGCACTGTAAACTTAAAAGAACTAGTTTGCTTCCTAAGAGAAGGGACAGAGCAATAAATGATGTACACCTAGTTTACTTCCTAAGAGAAACATGAAGATGCTTGATGGTGCATCATATGATTGCTGCATAGATGGAAACTTTAAGTGAAGGTACAGTAAGGTTGACAATAATCTTTCCCTAAACCAAACGCCATTCAAGATTAGTTAAGCAAAAAAATTTTGTTCAAGCTTTAGTATGAGGAAATCATAAAAGTTTGATTCTACATAAATGGACAGGAAATGGATTCTTTACCTGCTAGGTCAAGCACCACTCTTCAGCAAATTAAATTTTTGAAGCCACTTCTATAATGTACAGTGACAAAATCTAATACACATTAGATCCACCAATCAAACTAAACTGCATGAAGATACCATGAAGCTCATTTTATATTTTAGAGGAAGCACAGAAATCTCGATATGGCTTATAATTTTCCTGCCATTTGGAGAACTGTTTCTTCAAACACTTGAAAATTTTCTGCTCTGCTGGCTGAAGTGCCACTTGGGTTATATCAAAATCCAGCCTGACTGGGCTTATATCAAACAATTCATCCACAAATTGGTCAGTTTTAGAATCTGGCTTGGATGCTTTGTCTGCAGCTCCACAAATAAATGTAGTAAAAGTTTCATCTTTATAAGACGCAGAGCAGGCTTGCATCATTTGTTGCATCCCTATTGGTTCTTGTTTTACCTTGGAAGCAGCATCAATGTTGGTTCGTTCGCTTGCAGAACTAGTATGTGCTTGTGTAGGTTCATAAAGAAAGTAAGATTTCTCAGCTTGCAGCTCATCTGTGGCACCCCATCCATTGCAGTTTCTAGTGTCTGCAATAGAAATTTCTGGTAAAACATCTTTGAGAACAGTTCTGCACTGATAATCCAGTAAGTCATCATCTGGATTGTCTTTGAAGGTGAAAGACCCATCCTTTTTATCATTCTGTTGCAATGCAAGAAGAACGGGAACAGGAAGTACTGGACCAACAAGAGCATCTCCAAACAATGTTTTGCTCGACCATTTCTCGCTTCTTCTTGAAGGTTTCCCAGCAAAGAAAGGTAATGATCTTCTCTGAGACAATGACCAAGGGATTTCTAAGAATTCAAAAGTGGAGGCCCAATCAAGTCGGAACAGATCTGAGTATTTTGAAAAAGCCAATGGCAAAATATCCGATCGAAGACAATTTAGTGTCCTCCTGCATGCGACTTCAAAGATGCTGGTCGGGATGCTAACTTCATTCGCAAAAGCTGACATAGAGAGATTCGAAGACTTCAGGATGTGGCTAATAAGTTCATTCATATCATGACCCAAAGAAATTTGGCAAGTTTCTTTGTAATTAGCTTGGGGGCCACGCATGGCCAAAGCATTGGAAAGATTGCCATTCATATATTCAGAAAGATACCACAGCCTATAAAATTCACATCTGCTGGACATTCTACATTCATGTCCCTCAGAATTGATAACTGAATCATCGACCTCCTTTAATTGGTCTGCTTCTGTAAAGTTTGTCTCCTGACAATATAATTTTGATGATGCATGGTATCTCTGCATTTCCAACTTTCCAGACAAGGAAAGTCTAATTAGGGAAAATCCACCACCCGACTCTGAATCAACAGGGAAGATATCATTTGGGACAATGCACAGACCCACAACCTTCTTTTCCCTTTGTCGCCACACCGAACCATATGCAGAGTTCTCTGCTGAAAAAATCTCTCTCACAAAGCTGTCACCAGATTCACATCTGTTATCAGACAAAGGCAGACTCGAAGGAAGCTCCCAGGCAAAAAGTGAAGAATTGCCTAAGCATCCAGCCTTTCGAGGCCCATAGCAAAACAAAGTGAACTCATTATTCCAAAAGGAACCGATCAAGATGACATAACCAGATTCCGAGGCCCATTTGAACTCATTTGATGGCCTCAACTCCGACAATCTAAGCATGGCAATAAAATGTGGGGAATCCATTCTGTGGTTCCATGTCAATAGAGGAGCCAATGGTTTCCTCACATCGAACAGAAGCAAACGATGTTCTGTCACCAATGCAATGTGGAAATCATTGTAGCTCGCCTTACCAAAAGCAATGAACCGATCGTTCATTTCTATCAAAGGAGAAACATATAGAGAACTTGACATCTTGATGTGAGCCAAAACCTTGTGTTCAGTGCCTTTTGTGGATCTCAGATCAACCAAGACAACAGCTTTAGAACAGGCAACAATCACAGTCCATGGCTGCCCGCCAAACTCGCAGCTCAACCATTCTCCGGGATTGACCTCACCAGGCAAAGCAACCCTCATGGTGCCCCCGCGCTTGGTCTGCAGATTAAACCAGCAAAGGTCACCGCTTTCCAGCAAAGCGGCACTCTCCTCGACAAAATGTGGACTCCAGCAAGCGTGCACCACAGCGCTTTCAAACCCCTGCTTCGCCATCGGAACCAAGAACGGCCTCTCCTGACCCGTACCTGTAACCCTGGTCTCGATGCTAAACCAATTCACGGAATACAAAGTGGTGGCGATCAAGAACCCCTCGATGAGGGGATTGCCTGGGGACGCCGAAGCCGCCTCCGGCGCCCAGGAAGACTGGGTCGCGGCCACCGCCGACATCATCACTATCCGATGATATGGGTGTTTATACCCTTCCCTCAGCTTGAATACGTCACCGTCCCGATCGAGCCCTAGCTCCGGCGGCGCCAACCCACGGAAGGAGAGACCGACGTACCCGATCAAGTTGGCGTTTGGGCCAGTGGGAAAGAAAAGGACCATGGAAGAGCCGTTGCGGCAGCGGAGGGCGGCGAGGTTGTTGCAGGGGAGGGGGTCGGAGGCGGAGGCGGACGGGCCAGGGACGGAGACCGCGGCTTCGATGGCCAGGGCGTCGACGGCGGCAGAGGGGAGGAAGGCTTCGTTGGCGGGGCAGTGGAAGAAGGAGCGCAGGCCTTCGACGAAGGAGGAGGCAGGGAGCGGGGCGGGGATGTCGAGGGCGAGAGAAGGGGAGGAGAGAAGAGGGAGAGGGGGGAGCGGAGAGGGGGAAAAGAGGAGCGGACCGACGGGATCAGCGGCGGCGGCGGCCGAGGGGCGGAGGATGGGAGCAGCGAAGACGGAGGAGACCGGCCATAGGGACCGCCACTCGTCGGAGAACTCCATGGTTAGGGCCCGCAGGGGGTGGGTGGGTTTTGGGGTTTAAGTAGTTTACGGCACGCGTCCTGCGTCTACGGGCTTTAATGAGCCAACCCATTCTGCATATATGGGCTTATAATGAGTCATAAATGGATTTGGGCTTTAATAAGCCGACGAATTATGCATATATGGGCTTATAATGGGCCATAAATGGGACTACTTGACTATTTCTTAAATATGGACCGACAAATTGAATTCGTATCCGCATATATAAGAAGACGAAACGATTCCCGTTCCTACGCGGTAACAAAACCCCCGGTTTCCCTCTGGTTTCCGTACGCAAAGAAACGAGGATTCGAAGGGAAAAAGATTAGCGTCGTCACGATTTAAACGGTTTGCATCCCTTTTCCCTCCTCGTTGCTTTCCGATCCACCCAAGTTTGTTCGATCGAAACCCTCTTTCGAGTTCCCTCGATCGCAGTTCTGCGGACGTCCTTGGATCCAAGAAGGAGCGGGCGAAACCGGGTACGATCGCCACCGCGGATCCACTGGTCTTGCCGCGCAAGGGGGCGGGGGGATGTCGGTTCTCTCGCAGGCAGATGTCTCGGGTTTCTCCCCCCACCATGCGGCTCCCCATCGCCAATGGGTCGATCCGGACACCTGGACGAGGTACCCAATCTTCCATGCTATGTGGTCATATTCTTGGTTCTTGTTATTTCTTGGAGTTTATTCTCTTCTGCCATGACGATGTATTCCCAGTTTATAAATCTGTACGACGCTTTTTTTTTTAAATCGATTCGTGTAGTTTCTTGATTCTTCTGTGCCAATCTGATCAAGGAATATGGGTCTAACCATATGGTATGTCATGATCTTGAGAAATGGGGAAATCTATCGTTGAATGCGATTCAAGAACTATAGATCCAGGAGTTTAGGCTGGTGCTGAACATTTGACAGAAGAACCTAAGGGTCTTGTGAACGATGGACCACCTTGAGTCTTTTCTCTGTTTCAACTTGGCTTTTCTGGCTGGGTAAATTGATCATTTAGTTAAGATGCTACTACATATCTATTGTCAACAAATTTGAGCCTCCGAAAGTCAATGGTTGGAACTATTCTCCCAGTTTGTGAATCTGTATAACGTTGTTTGTTTCTTTGAATCTTGTGTCCAATCTGGTGAAAAGAATAAGGGCCTAAGTATATGTTACGTCATGATCTTGAGAGCCGGGGAAATCTATTACTAGTTGGGGTTCAAGAACTATAGATCTAAGATTTTAAGCTCGTGCTGAACACTTACTGAGAAGAACCTAAGGATCTTAAAATTAGACTAATATTTGCACCATCCACCATATTTATTTCATGTTTTCCCAATGCCTTAAAATTAAATACAGTGTGTAGATAATTACCCAGATCAACGTTCACACTTTGTCATTCATATATACTGTATTCAGGAGGGGTTTTGAGGGGTAGATTTATGCGGTGCAACTAGGTTGATGTTAAGATTGTACTAGTTATTATATTGCAGACAATTGGTCTTGGCTAAGGTAGACTAGGATTTTTAATGTGGTCCGAGGAAGAATTAGATTGAGAAGATCAGAGTCATGATTGATTTTGTTCCTAACAACATGCATGAATGCTAAATTTCTGGTGTCACTCTTCCATGTTACAGTGGAGTTTAACAGTAGAGTGTGGTTTTGCAGTAATCTGAGTTGCATCTTCTATTTTAAATTCTGAGGTTGTTGCTTGATGTCTAAGTGTCAAAATGTGTTATTGATAGTATGGTGGTGCATGGAAAGAGAGACCACCCACATTGTTGGGTAAATGTCGGATTCCTAAATGGTTTACATACCTAAACGCAGTAGTACCGAGAATTGATACCTAAGTTGTTGGCTGAAGCAATATTTTGTGAAAATACAAAATTTTGTAAGAAACAAGTGTATGCATCTCTCTCTTCTGCTCTGTTATTAGTTGTGTTCTTCCGTTAAGTTGGCCTATATTGTGGTCAGGTATGGATTTTTGTATGAGTAGGCTGCAGGCTGGGTTTGATTACAGGACAATCTGGGGCTGAGCAAGTGCATGAGGCATGCACCTTCCTCTTTTTCAGGATTAGGACTAGTGAATCACTTCTTAAAGTTTTAGGGTTGGGAGTTGTCTGGAGATACTCCTATTTGAGAGGATATAATTTGTTCCAAGGAGAAATAATTTGTCTGTGTTTTAGCTAAACTTATATTGTCATTGTTAGCAGGCTATGGGCTAGGTAGTTGTGAGCCGAAACTTGGGACAAAACCAGTTCATAGGACATTATTTGAATAATGCTGGAAACAATGACATTAGCTATGCTTCACCAATTAGAATCTTCTACAGGCAGATGATTGAAACATCATTGGCTTCTTATTGTAGTCTTTTGTCTTATTATGATTTGTCCGTTAAGGTGCATCTTCAAAATATGTCAAATTAGAAGGTACGATTAAGTGAATTCAAGAATGCTAATTATCAAAATCTAAAACTTCAACGAAAAGGCGAATGATTTGTGATTTAGTTTCTTTGTTTGAACAAAAAATGATTGAGAATTCCACTGATTGAAAGTCAATGTTGACTGGAAAAAAAAATGGAAGTTATGACCTGAAGAACCTTTAAGAAAGCTGAAAATGTAGGATGCAACACTGATCCATTGTGAGAATGCCAAGCATGCACTGGATGAGAGAAATTTATCTTGCATATTTTTCTTAATGGAGGACAAAAAGTGAAACCGTATTTGCTAAAGATGGGCTAAACCACCTAAAAATGGGGTATGAAACTTGTGGTATATTATCTTTTTCGAAATGAATGAAACATGTGCATCATTAAACTGGTTTCGGTGTGACCAGGAATCAAAGAAAACATGTTTGGATGATTGACACCAAAATGACAAATTTTGGTAAGTGATGTCAAGATCTGGATTTCGTTGAGATCAATGCATCAGTTATTTCAGTAGTGTATAACTAGAGCTGCTTTATGTTGGACAAGGGTGCCGTGATCTTCTTCCTTACAGAAGAACCTCTCATGGCTTAAATACTATGACAAGTTTGTCTTTTTGGCTTATAATTTGTGTGTTGGAGTCCGACATAATTGATGGATGGCATTTTTTCTTTTGTTTATACTAACATTATCCTCTTTAGGTAAAATTGCTAGTCATTCAGCTTCCTAGCTTAGTTCTTGCATGTCATAGTTAGATCCACTGTTCCAAATATATAAAAATTCCTCAAACTCTCTTATCTCACCTTGATTCACAGGCTTGGCTTAAGAATAAGGTGTGTTGGCTCTTGAGAAGAGCGTTTATGGTTTTCTGTGCCCTCACATGCCATGTACACACAGGACAAGGTGTGATTCTGTTAATACTAATGGAATACTTCTCTGAGGGCAAATAATAGTAGACTCTTAAGGTATTATGCATCTGGTATAGGAGGAGGGGGTATGTGTATGAGACAATGGTTTCATCCACTTTTCGTCTAGGTTTCTCCATTGTTATTCCTTTTTCTTTTGCAAAATAAGTGAAAAAGGAAAGAAGAAGAGCCAGTAATCAATCATCATAAAGAGGAGGAGGGGACAAAAAAGAAAAAAAAAAGAAGAGAAAGCTTCAAGTTGGCTGCGACATCACCACATGGGCACCCGCCTTGCTGCCTAGGCTCTTTATCGGATGCTCTTTTAGACATCTTGAGAAGTTTGTGACCCTCTGTGACCATCGCCAGCTATGGCAATGACTCATCCTCCATGGAATTGTCCCACTCATGGTCATGTTTGATCAAGGAGCTATCGACAAGGAAATGAACTCAGGGAAAGGGTAGGAAATGAATGCTTAAGGTGCTACTTGATGGACAATGATCGTGGACAAGGAAGGACCTATAGTTGAGCAAGGCCTGATTGAGATAACCTTGGAATTAGGGGTGACTTTATTTCTGCTCTGGGTTGATTTGAGTCAAGCTCAGCGAACATAGTCTGAACTCATATAGTTACCCGCCCAAAAGACTCAAACCAGGCTCTGACCCATAAGTGGCCTAGCTCAATGGGCCCAGGGAGACTTTGATTCATTCCGTGCACCACTCTTTATATTATCATCGGCTATAAATTGACCTGCTTGATTGATTATGCATGCTTTCTCCATAACAAATTGCCCTGATTCCACATCTTCGGAATTTTTTTATTCCCCTCTCTACATGAGTGTGCTCGTTTTCTGAATATCTATCTGTTTGGCATATGGATCCTTGTCTATTTTATAAAACATTAATTATAGAAATAATAGAGAAGGAAGATGATTTTCTTTATTTGCTTTGTTACTTTTTTTTTGTGTTCTATTCTTGTGGGAGCTGTGGGAGGGGGAAAACAATGCAATCAAGTGAATGGGACACCCCCTCGTCAAGATGGATGGATGGTGTGCATGTTCTATTCAATGAATAAGGTGAAGGAAATAAAAGGACGGAAATGAACGATAACAGTGATCTTTTTCTTTTTTTCTTTTTTTTTCCTTCAAAGAATTAAGTTACAAAACTGTTATAATGCCTTTTCTTTATAAATTTTTTTGCTTAAATTTGGAAGAAGCGGCTTTTGGTAGGATTGTTTTTTTATCTTTTGTTGTGCATATGTTTTTCTGATAGAGATTTTTTTTCTCTTGCATTACTCCCTTTGGTGAGTGGTTTTGTCTTTCAGTGGGCTCTATTTAGAAGGGTATTTTTTTACGTATATCAATGGTCATTCGATTCCACATCGACAGAAGCCCACTGGGGTCCCATGTATTATGAAAATTTTAAAAGCATTTTTGCTACACGTGTTGGTTGGGATTTTATTTTTATTTTTATTATTTTCCAGAGAATTCTGATCGATTACTTAGCAGACTACAAATACATATATCTCAATATAAAGAGATGAAATATGTAAATTATTTTGGTAATGAAAGGAAAACTAGCCAACCAAAAGGGCTTGTCTTTTAATGTTTGTTGTCTTCCCGGTAGAATATACAAATGGTTCTCTCAGTGAAAGGTTTTCGTTCTCAACGAACC